GGGGGGGGGGAGGTAGGCCGCTCCCCCAGCTGGGTATTCACCCCGTCTCCCCCCCGCAGGAGAAGTCGAAGCTGGAGAGCGAACTGGCCAACTTCGGGCCCCGCATCAATGACATCAAGCGAATCATCCAGAGCCGGGAGCGGGAGATGAAGGACCTCAAGGAGAAGATGAACCAGGTAAGCATGAAGCGGTGCATTGTGGGGGACGTAGTCCATGCGGCGCCTGCCCCCCCCAGTGTGGTGCATTGTGGGGAATGTAGTCTGCACCGTGCCCTGGAAGCGGTGCATTGTGGGGGACATAGTCCTTCCATTGTGGCATTGCTTTGGCCTGTCCTCTGCTGCAGTGCATTGTGGGGGTTATACGCCACCCAGTGGCCTGGCATGGTGATCATAGGGGGAGTCATAGTTTGAGGATAATCTGCTGCAATGCATTGGGGGGGAGGGGGAGAGTCCATGTGGCATTGCACTTCTGCAGTGCATTGTGGGGGGTGTAGTCCAAATAGCATTGGTCCCTGGCCCTCTTCTGCTGCAGTGCATTGTGGGGGGTGTAGTCCATGTGGCACCTTCCCATGCTGCATCCTGGGGATTGTAGTCTGTGGCTATGCTCCCAGCTCCACCTCTCCGCTCCTGCCGGCCCCTTCCTGTCCAAAGGGAGGGGAGATCAGTTGCTGCGGGGGGGAGTTCGAGGCTGGGTGGTGCCAGGTTGGTAGCCCGGGACCCGGAATTGGGGCTGTCAGATGGGGCAGGGAAGGGGCACCCCCCAGCCAGGGTCTAACAGCAGCACCCCCCCACCGGCAGGTGGAGGACGAGGTGTTCGAGGAGTTCTGCCGGGAGATCGGGGTGAGGAACATCCGGGAGTTCGAGGAGGAGAAAGTGAAGCGGCAGAACGAGATTGCCAAGAAAAGGTACCAGCCCGGATGGGAGCCAGCGCCCCCTAGAGGGGAAAGGCCCCCATTCCCTGACCCCAAGAGTCAGCCAGCCCCTACCCTGGGGCTGGATGAGCCAGCGCCCCCTAGAGGGGAAAGGCCCCCAGGCCCCATTCCCTGACCCCAAGAGTCAGCCGGCCCCTACCCTGGGGCTGGATGAACCAGCGCCCCCTAGAGGGGACAGGCCCCGAGTCCCATTCCCCACCCCCTGAGCCAGCCAGTCCCCGCCCCGGAGCCGGCGCCCCCTAGAGGGGACAGGGGGAGGGGAGAACCCTGCACCCTGACTCTCCCCCCCCGGCCCCCAGGCTGGAGTTTGAGAACCAGAAGACGCGGCTGGGGATCCAGTTGGATTTTGAGAAGAACCAGCTGAAGGAGGACCAGGAGAAGGTGCACATGTGGGAGCAGACAGTCAAGAAGGACGAGGCCGAGATCGAGAAACTCAAGAAGGTACCAGGGGTCGGGGGCGGGAGGAGGTGATGGGGCGGGATCTGGGCACTGGGGGAGAGAGGGGGGAGGGGGTGCAGCCTTGGAGGGTGGGGCTCTGGATGTAGGGGGTCGGGCTCCCTCTCCAGCTACCCCGGAAGAGCAGTGCTGGGGTGTGGTGGGGGAGGAGGGGCTTTTTTCTTCTCCTCCCCCTGTCCAAGAGGAGCCATATGGGCAGTGGTGGGTGGGGCTCATTCCCCCAGGAGCATTGTGGGCGGGGCTCCGGCCCTGGTGGGCGGGGCTCCGCCCCTGGTGGGCGGGGTTCACTCCCTCCCTCCCCCCCCCGTGCAGGAGGAGCAGCGTCACATGAAGATCATCGACGAGACCATGGCCCAGTTGCAGGACCTGAAGAACCAGCACCTGGCCAAGAAATCCGAGGTCAACGACAAGAACCACGAGATGGAGGAGATCCGCAAGAAGCTGGGCGGGGCCAACAAGTGAGTGACAGCCAGGGGGTGGGGCCAGGGAGACAGTTTCCACCTGTCCCCACCCCCTCCCATGTGGGGGTGGGGCCACTGCACTGATAGCTCTCCATTGGAGGCGGGGCCGGGGAGTGACTTGGGCCCGTTGGGGGTGTGGCCTGTGTATGGTAGATGCCCATTGGAGGTGGGTCCAGTCAATGATCTAGGTCCAGGGGGGCGTTGAAGGGGGCAGGGCCAGCACATGACAGACATCCCTTGGAGGCGGGGCCAGCCAGTGACCCCGGGCCGCGTCCCCGCCCCGCAGGGAAATGACCCACCTGCAGAAGGAGGTGACGGCCATCGAGACGAAGCTGGAGCAGAAGCGCAGCGACCGCCACAACCTGCTGCAGGCCTGCAAGATGCAGGACATCAAACTGCCCCTCTCCAAGGGCACCATGGACGACATCAGCCAGGAGGAGGTGGGGACAGGAGGGGGACTGGCCGCGACGCTGGGGGAGGGGTTGGGGGGGTACAGATGGGGGCTGGAGGAGTGGGGGGGGCGGGGGGGCCGGGAGGCGGTGGGGGGGCGGGGGGGGGCGGGGGGGGTCGGGGGGGGGGGGGGGCGGGGAGCGGGGGGGGGCTTCAAAGGATGAGTGGCACTACGGGGAGGGGGAGGGGCTGTAGAGGGGGAGGGCTCTGTGATTCCCGGTCCCTCCTTTGCTCACCTCCCCACCCCCGTCTCCCCCCCCAGGGCGGGGCGCCCGGCGAGGAGCCCGTCAGCAGCTCCCAGCGCACCTCCAACATGTACGCCCGGGAGGCCCTGATCGAGATCGACTACAGCGACCTGTCCGAGGACCTCAAGGTGGGCAGGGCCTGCGGGACTCCCCGCCACTGGATATCCCGGCACACAGGGCTTGGGGGCGGGATTTCCATGGGCAGGGCCTGTGGGACTCCCCGCCACTGGAGATCCCGCTGCAGCACCCTTGCCCAGATTCCCTTGCGGGACTCCTCGCCACTGGGCAGGGGTTGGGAGGGTTCCTTGGCCAATGAGGGACTTCATGGAGACGCTCGGTTGGTTGTAAAACGGATGAGGGTTCTCAAGTCTCCTCCCTCCAAGGCATAAGCCCCGCCTCCCTAACTGATGGGGGCGGAGCCAGAACGAAATGCTCCTCCCCCACCCCCATTGTCAATTGCACCTTCCTCTGATGCCCGTGAGATGGATCTGGGGGGAAGGTGAGATATGGGGCCGGATGGGCCCATGGAGGGAGGTGGGTGGGGCATGAGTGGCTGGCTCCACCCCCTCCCTTTCTGCCCCGCCCGCCCAGGACGCCCAGGCGGAAGACGAGATCAAGCAGGAGATGAACCAGCTGCAGCAGAAGCTGAATGAGCAGCAAAGCGTCCTCCAGCGCATCGCCGCCCCCAACATGAAGGCCATGGAGAAGCTGGAGAGCGTCCGGGACAAGTTCCAGGAGACCTCCGATGGTACCGGACGCCTGGGTCCCAGCCCGGGGAAGGGGGGTTAGAGCAGGGGGGGCTGGGAGCCAGGACTCCTGGGTTCTCTCCCCGGCTCTGGGAGGGGAGTGGGGGCTAGTGGTTAGAGCAGGGGGGGCTGGGAGCCAGGACTCCTGGGTTCTCTCCCTGGCTCCGGGAGGGGAGTGGGGTCTAGTGGTTAGAGCAGGGAGGGCTGGGAGCCAGGACTCCTGGGTTCTCTCCCCAGCTCTGGGAAGGGAGTGGGGTCTAGTGGTTAGAATGGGGGGGGGGGCGGGAGCCCGGATGCCTGGGTTCCCATTCTCCACTCCCCCCCAACCCCGCAGAGTTTGAGGCGGCCCGGAAGCGCGCCAAGAAGGCCAAGCAGGCGTTTGAGCAGATCAAGAAGGAGCGATTTGACCGGTTCAACGCCTGCTTCGAGTCCGTGGCCACGAACATCGACGAGATCTACAAGGCTCTGTCGCGGAACAGCAGCGCCCAAGTGAGCTCCGCGCCCTCTCTGCCCCCCCCCCCCGCCCTCGCCTTCCCTGCCCCATCTGGGACCCCCTGTGACTCCGCCCTGACCCCACCTTCTTCCCAGAAAGGCAGCATCTGTCCTCTGAGAAGGTAGCTGGCGACCCCACCCCTCAGCCCCATGCTGGGTTGGGAGTTAACCCCCATTGAGATGCATGTGGCAGTTCACACCTCTGCGAGCGATCGGCTCAGGCTCTCAGCAGACTCAGGCAGTGTCGCCTTTTTGAGCTTTTCTCCCCAATCACGAGGGCTAGAGACTTTAGTATTATTGTAACCGGAAAATTGGGATGTGGGGCTGGAGGCTCTGCCTCATTCGGGCCCCACTCCTTACTGCCCCTCCCATCCCCCTCTGTAGGCGTTCCTGGGCCCGGAGAACCCCGAAGAGCCGTACCTGGATGGAATTAATTACAACTGCGTGGCCCCTGGCAAGCGGTTCCGGCCCATGGACAACCTGTCCGGAGGGGAGAAAACTGTAGCAGCCTTGGCCCTTCTGTTTGCTATCCACAGGTAGGGGACGCTGGGGCCCAGTGGGGTAGAGCGGGGGTGGGGCTGGGAGCCAGGACTCCTGGATTCTCTCCCCAGCTCTGGGAGGGGAGTGGGGTCTGGTGGTGAAAGCAGGGGGGCTGGGAGCCAGGACTCCTGGGTTCTCTCCCCGGCTCTGGGAGGGGAGTGGGGTCTGGTGGGTTAGAGTAGGCGGGGCTGGGAGCCAGGACTCCTGGGTTCTCTCCCCGGCTCTGGGAGGGGAGTGGGGTCCTGTGGTTGAGAGCAGGGGGCTGTGGGGCAGGGTCATTGGCGAACTCCCCATCACCCCCTCGTCTCCGCTCCCTCCCCAGCTACAAACCCGCTCCCTTCTTCGTGCTGGACGAAATCGACGCTGCGCTGGACAACACCAATATCGGGAAGGTGTGTGGGGCTGATGGGGGGCCAATAGCGAGGGGCCTCCGTGGGCCATGTGATGGGAGGGAAGCTAGGGGGGAGGGCGGCGGCTGGGGGTTGGGGTAGAGGAAAGGGAAGTGGTTTGGGGGGACGCGGGGGATTTGGGTGTGATGGGGCAGGAGAGTTCGTGGCTGGGGACTCTAGGGAGAAAGGTTTGGGGGAGGCGGTCATGAAGGGGGTGCCCTGTTGACCCCCGGTAGATTAGAGGTCTTGGGGGGAAGGTCTGGAGCTGGGGGAGCTGGGTCTGGGGGGGAGGGAGTGGGCTGGGGGTTTTAGGGGGACCCCCATTGACCCCCCCCGATCCCTCTCACAGGTGGCCAACTACATCAAAGAGCAATCCACCTGCAACTTCCAGGCCATTGTCATCTCGCTGAAGGAGGAATTCTACACCAAGGCCGAGAGCCTGATTGGGGTCTACCCTGAGGTACGGGGGGGCTGCCCCCCACTTCTCTGCTGGGGTCCGGAGCGCTGGCCGATCCATCCAGCCCCTGGGGGTGGGGCACGGGGGGCCTGTCTCTGCCTGGATCCGGGGGGCAGAGGTGCGGGGGGGGTGGGCAGGGCATTTGGGGGGGCAGCACGGACTACCGGCCCTGCCTGGGGTGGGGGGGGGGCACACATTCAGTAGGGGGGTGCGGGTAAGTGACCCCCCCTTTTTTTGATCCATCTTTGACTCTCCCCCCTTCCCCCCTCTCTCCACAGCAAGGGGACTGCGTGATCAGCAAAGTGCTGACCTTTGACCTCACCAAGTACCCCGACGCCAACCCGAACCCCAACGAGCAATAAGCCGGCTGGACGCTGCCACGGGTGGGGGGGGGATGTGATGGGTTAACCCCCCCCCATTTATTTTTAACCATTTCATTGCCTCCGCCAATGCATTCTGGGGGGGCAGGGGCTATTAACCCCCCGTCTCTAAGGTGGGGGCCACCTGTCTCCACATCACTGGGGGGAGCGGTTTTATCCCCGGGGGGGCCTCAATTCCCCCCACCCCCTCCGATGCTATTTTTAGAATCATGCTATTTAACTTGCTTTTTAAAACCAGCCCCCGGGGGATCAGCCTGGTAGGGCTGGAATTATGGGGCAGTTGGGGGGCGGGAAGGGGGCAAGGCGGGCGGGGGGGTCACCGGGCTGCTGCTTTTCAAGTCGTGTCTCTGTGTCTGTGTGTGTGTGTGAAATGTGTCTTTTTGCAACAAAATAAACCAGATTTTCCCTTCCCTGGATGGCTAGTGGGTCAATCTTTGGGGGCTGGGGTGGTGTGGGCGTGCGCCCCCTGCTGGCGGGGATCAGACCTGCTCTGTGTGTGTGATCCCCCTGCCAGGGGGGCATGTGCCCTGGGGTGAGGCCCCGGGTACCAGCCAGGGGGCTGTGATGGGAGATGGGCAAAATGGGGGTGCTGATCAGATGGGGAGGGGTACCGGGGGCCTGGTCTGGGAGATGTGGGGCAGGCTGGGCCTGTGCGTCTGATTTCTGCCATTGCAGCCCTCAGGGCACGAAGCTGTGAGCTGGGCATGGGACAGGGGTACCAGAAAGTGCCAACCCTGGCCTAGATCCGTGCGGTGGCAGGAAATCAGGTGAGACTGGCCAGGTGCTGCCAGCTCCCTGCTCATCTGACTTCCCCTACCGGCGCCCCAGAGCGGCTCAGAGCCCCCCGTCCTCTGTCCTGGTGCCAGGGCAGCCTGGGGGCGGACGGACCCAAATAACCTGCCTGACCCCTCCAGGCACCCGCCTGGCGCCCTGAAACATGTGTGGATTGGAGTCAATTATTGTCATCCCGAGCTGCGAGGGGTAGGAGCATATGGGGCAATCGGGGTGTCCCCAAAGATACGTTCCCCCAGCCAGGAGCCCCCGAAGTGCTCAGCAAGCCAGCCTCAGGTGGTGGTATGTCGGTCTCTTCCCCGGCTGCCCCGCCCCAGAGGGGGCTGCACTAGGCGAGCCGTCCCTCTGCAGTTAACTGCACTGTTTAAGGGTTAAAACCCTAATTAGCAGTAAAGTTATTTGCATTTTGTTTCTGTGGTAACAGGGCCCCTGGGTGCCTGCATAAACTATTGGCTGGGGGGCGGGGAGGGGAGGGTATAACCTTTGAACTTACTTTTCCCATCAGCCATTCCCACCCTGATACTGTGTGTGAGGGGCTGGGAGCCAGGACTCCTGGGTTCTCTCCCCGGCTCTGGGAGGGGAGTGGGGGCTGGTAGGTTAGAGCAGGGGGGGCTGGGAGCCAGGACTCCTGGGTTCTCTCCCTGGCTCTGGGAGGGGAGTAGAGGCTGGTAGGTTAGAGCAGGGGGGCTGGGAGCCAGGACTCCTGGGTTCTCTCCCCGGCTCTGGGAGGGGAGCGGGGGCTGGTGGGTTAGAGCAGGGGGGGCTGGGAGCCAGGACTCCTGGGTTCTCTCCCCGGCTCTGGGAGG